AAGACAAAACGACAGCCCACAGACTGGGAAAAGATATTCACCAACCCCACATCTGACAGAGGGCTGATCTCCAAAATATACAAAGAACTCAAGAAGCTAGTCACCAAAACATCAAACAATCCAATTAAAAAATGGGGTACAGAACTAAATAGACAATTCTCAATAGAGGAATCTAAAATGGCTGAAAGACACATAAGAAAGTGTTCAACAGGGAACTGCAGCAGGGAAATGCAAATCAAAACAATTCTGAGATACCATCTTACTCCTGTCAGAATGGCTAAAATCAAAAACACCAATGACAGTTTATGCTGGAGAGGATGTGGACAAAGGAGAACACTCCTCCACTGCTGGTGGGAGTGCCAACTTGTACAGCCACTTTGGAAATCAGTCTGGCGACTCCTCAAGAAAATGGGAATGAGTTTATCACAAGATCCAGCAAGAAAACAAATTTTTAATAAGGTAAGAATATGAACAGCTTTCATACATGCGATGGGTTATAGCAAGGGTTAGAAATATGAAGTATCACTGTCTTCACAGTTTGTATGACAGTCTGTCATGCCTGCATTCTTTGAGGTGAGAAATTCATTTATGAAATAATTTCAGTGCAATGTTATAGTGCTGTGTAGGTCTTTCACCTGGCTACTGATAGTTGGCTGTATTTAGAGAAAGATGTTTCTTCTGGAATGTTGACAGTTAATATGCAGATTGGCCTCCTCAAAGTCTTTACTCTCATGAAATGGCCAGGTAACACGCCTGATGCAGCCATCTGTGAGTTGCCTCATTTGTCTTAAGGGTTGTCAACTCTTCTGGCTGATGGTCCTTTCAACCTTTAAAAAAGCCAGAAATCAGTCCTAGCACTGGATCCAGGCCCAGTAAAAGGCCAGCCTTAATTTTTCTTCATTGTTGGCTCTTTGGTGGAGATAGGGAGAAAAGGGCCAGAGACCTAGAAAATGAATGGTTGTGTTCTGATTATGTTGTTGTTTTCTTATCCACTTTTCTATAGTTTTTAATTTGGCTTTTCATTTAGCTTCAGGGGAAGAAAAGGCCCAGAGAGGGACCTTTTGTTTTAGCAGATACCTGATTATTTATATGAGATGAAAATAATTATATTTTGTTCCTTTCATAAAATTCCAAATTCTTCACTATCAAATGAGCTTTCAAAATTCAGAACATTTTATCAGAACAGTAAGATTACATTCTCTTGGAAACTTTCCCATTTTAAAAGTGAGCTGTGGCAGCTGGCATTGCCCTTGTCATGCAGGGTCTCCTCTTGTCTCCAGACATGGCAGACACTGCTTTATGGTTATTCATGAATGTACACTTTCCTTCAGCTTTTAAACATTTTCTCTGGTATTCCAATTTCTTGATTTAAAAATCCTTAAAATATATTTCCAGATCCATTTCCCTGTGTTAGCTTTTTAGGTCTTTCTTACTGTACTTTGGTGTCATTTCTGTTGTCTCAGATTAGCATGTAACTTCATTCAATGCTGTAACATCTGAACATGTAAATGTCAATAATATGAACAAAGACTGTCATAGGCCGTGGCTTATATTTTAATATTCACTTTCATCTGTTGTTGTAGTGTCTTTTTAGACTTTACTTTTTACAGTGGTTTATATGTGCTTATTTTCACCTTTGAAAGCTTTATTATACACCTATATTTTATTTAACATTTTTAATTTAATCTTTTCTCATTTTACATACCAATCCCTGTTTCCACTCCCTCTTCTCCTCCTGATCTTCCTACCTTCTCCCCACACCACCCCATCCACTCCTCAGAGAGAATAAGTCTTCCCATGGGGAATCAATGAAGTCTGGCACATCTCTTTGAGGCAGAACAAAGGCCCTCTCCCCATATCTAGACTGAGCAAGGTATCCCTCCAAAGAGAATGGGTTCCAAAAAGCCAGTTCAAGCACTAGGGATAAGTCCTAGTCCCACTGACAGTGGCCCCACAGACTGCTGAAGCCACACAACTGTCACTCAAATTCAGAGGACCTAGTTGGTCCCTTACCAGTTCCCTAGCTGTCAGTCTGAAGTCAGTGATCTCCCACTAGCTCAGGACAGTTGTCTCTGTGGGTAACCCCAAAATGGTCTTGAGAGGGCTCCTCCCTCTCTTCTACTGGACTCTGGGAGCTGGGCCCAGTTCTTATCTGTGGATCTTTGCATCTGCCTCCATCAGTTGATGAATGAAAATTCTTTGATGATAATTCAGATAGTTATCAATCTGATTACAGGGGAAAGCCAGTTCAGGCATCCTCCCTACTAATGCTTAGGGTCTTAGTTGGGGTCATCTTTGTTGATTCCCAGGAATTTTCTTAGTGCCGGGTTTCTCATTAGCTCCGTAATGACTACCTCAGTGAAGATACCACTTTCCTTGCTCTCCCTCTCTGCCTTTCCCCATCTCCACCATCCAGTTCCCTCATGTTCTCCTTCTCCCCTTTCTCCCCCCCCACATTCCACTTCCATTCCTTCCACTATGCTCCCAATTTTCTCATGAGATATTGTCTATATCTCTTTCCCAGGGAGATCCATGTATGTCTCTCTTAGAGTTCTCTTGTTACCTAGCTTCTCTGGGGTCATAGACTATAGGCTAGAGTTATCCTTTGATTTACATCAATTATCCACTTATGAGTGAATACATACCATGTTTGTCTTTCTGGGCCTGTGTTACCTCACTCAGGATAGATTTTTCTAGTTCCATCCATTTGACTGCAAATTTCATGATGCCATTGTTTTTTTACCACTGAGTAGTACTCCATTGTGTTAATGTACCTCATTTTCTTTATCCATTCTTAAGTTGATGGCCATCTAGATTGTTTCCAGGTTACTGCTATGAAAAATGCTGCTATGAACATAGTTGAGCAGTGTCCATGTGGTATGAGAGTGAATCTTTTGGGTAAATGCCCAAGAGTGTTATTGCTGGGTCTTGAGGTAGATTGATTCCCAATTTTCTGAGAAACAGCCATACTGATTTCCAAAGTGGTTGTATAAGTTTGCATTCCCAC